GCCCAAAGTTGCTCAAAGCTGGATTTCCACACTTCTGGGGATGAAAAACACGATGAAATTGCCAAGGATTAAAGGCATACATTTATTTCCAGTGTGGATGTTAGGATCAAGGTGTTGGTGAATCCACGATTGCCATGGTAGAGTTTTTGGTTGGTAAAGCCAGTCCCAAGCCCATCAAGATCTTTCTGTTACCATCAGCCATAGTGGTCCCATTCCCGAAACTTCACCCCTTTTTTCAGGTGCTACAAAGTTGGATGTAGGGCTCAAGTTGTATGTGGGACCAATGGCCATTGAACTTGATGATCTTAAAGGTCTTTTGTAACCTTAAAAATTCCATGATTCTGAGTATGTTGGTGAGATCCCTCCCATATCCATCCACATCTGAATTTTAGGCCTGTTTTTCCATGTTTTTTCTCCTAGGATCCAGCTTCCACTTTGTAAAGAACTCCCCAGCCAACAAGGTGATAAAGACGCGCTACAGGATCGTGAAGAAGAGCGTGGTGTCTCCAGCCTTATCATCCTTCACCAGCCCCATTCCCACCTGGAAGACCAGACGCCCCATGACATCCAGGTAATTCTTCCATCCCTGGAATGCAGCTGGTTGGGATGTGGGAGCCACAGGAATTCCCACGATGGCTCTGTGTTTTTCTGTTGCATCCTCGCTGTTTAATTTGTCTCTTTGTTTGGTCTACTCTGAGTTTATTGACTTAAAGTGTAAAATCATATTAGGAATTGTGTTATCCCGAGCTGGTGCCAGCAGCTTATGCCTTTGGCTTCCTATTTATTCCCTCTTGGAATTAATTGTTTCCATGGAGCAGTTAAATAAGCTGAAAAGAGGATGAATAAATATGCAGATGTTGGTGATGAAGGGGAGCGTGTTGGATGCTCCAGACTTACACCAGGATGTAGGTGCTGTCCCAAACTCGCTTATTCCCAATTATCTGGATGGGTGGAACATCAGGAAACATTTTGTCACTGCCTAAAGAAGGGAAGCACTGAAGGTATCATACCCTTGAGATGGAATATTCCTAAATCCATAGAGGTGGAAATGTTTCCAGGGAGCATCTCAGGGGCCAAGACAAGACCTGGAGCTTGCGTAGAAGCAGTTTGTTAAAACAATTGATCCTTTAATACAAGGTGCAATTCAAAGTGATGGGTTTGGTGAAAATACAGATTTTGGTTATTTTTAGGTCGGGAATAACTTGTTCTCCCACTGAAATGCCAGAAGGCACAGGCAGGATTTTGGGAAAAGAGAGCCTGCTCTGCTCTTCTCTGGCTTTCTTCTCCCTGCTCCAGGTGGTTTTCTCCAAAAGTCATTCCCCAGCAATGCCCTGAGGATTGGTGGCTTTTATGGTAGAGCTGTGGAGGGACAAAAATTGTGGTGATTGTTTTTAAAGCCTGACTTTGCCTGATATTTCCCTTTAAAAGTGAATTTTGGGAATCCCAAATCGGTATCTGAAGGGAGGGTTGGTTTTGGAAGAGTTCAGGGTGCTGAAGCAAAGTATGGGATAAACTGAGAGGTTGGAAAAAAAAGCTGGGTCAATTATTTGTTTTCCAAGCTCTTTGTTGAGAAATGCCTCATCTCCTGTACTCTACTGCTCTCAAAGTGCTTCTTCCAGTATGGAAACTGAGATCCTTTTGGGCTCAGGGTCAACCTTACCTACACCACCTCCTCCTTTATCTTCACGTTCTACTTTTGCCTGTGATATTTTCCCACCTGGACATTATCCCTGAGATCCACAGATCTCCTTTTGCTCTGGGTTTTCTCCACCAATTACTGCTCCACTTGGAGGTGCCACCTCCATTTGCACATCCTTGGGACCAAATTCCTGGATTTCCCTTTCCAGAAACAAACCTGGTCATTTTTTGCCTGCTCCATCCTCCTGCAATTTCATGGAATCTCACAAGATGTTTGGGTGGGAAGGAACCTTTAAGATGCTTGAGTTCCATCCCCCTACCATGGGCAGGGAATACCTTCCACTATCCCAGGTTGCTCCAACCTGGCCTTGATCACTTCCAGGGATGAGGCAGCTACAGCTTCTCTGGGAAAGCTCTGCCAGGGCCTCACACCCTGAAAGTGTCCCAGGCCAGATTTGGTCTTGAAATCCAAATGATTCTGTGATTTTCAGCCTTACTTAATAGAGAACAGCTCATCCTCCAGCTGTTGGGCTCACCTTCTTCCCTCACACCTTGTTACTCCAGATCTGGATGGTTGATGGGTGGAGGATCCATGGTGAGAATCAAGGAGGGGAAAAGCTTCAGGCATGGAATTCAGAGCAGGGACATCCGGGATCTGTGTGGTGGCTCTTGCTGAACCCAGTGTTAATTTTCCAAGGAACAGCCTCATTCTGCCGTGATTGGCTGAGATCTCCCACTTGTAGGATCATTTTCTCGGTATTAATCTCCAACTTCATTAAATCGGTGTAGTTTAGATCTTACTGCTTCAGACAAATCTTGATAAAATGCCATCAGCAAATTAAAACAATTATGTTTTAAAGAAGCCATAAATTTCTGTCTCCCAATTACCTTCACTGGGGGTGATCAATCATCTGGCCTGTCTGGAGGAAGCACATGGCAAATGCTTCTCCTTGAGTTTTTACAGAGTTTTTGCTTTGTCGTTCCTATCATCATCTTGGATCTGTCACAAGCAACACGCCAGGATCTGCTTTTTTCCTGATTTTCTTTGCTCTTCCCAAAACAAGGAGAAACTCAGATGATGGTGGGATGCCCTTTAGTCACCTCAGTTTCATCTTTCATACTGAGTAGTCAATTATTTTTAATATTTATATTTTTCATATTAATAATCATAACGTTTTTATAATAATTTTATATTTTTAATATCCTCTTGCCCTTAAGCCAGCAGTGGGAGGTCAACTGGTGGTGCTGCCCTCCAGTGCCAAACTGTTTCCTAGCTGGCACTAAGGAGTGATTTCTTCATAGAAGTCCAGGTTTTTGGATATCTGGAGGTAATGTGCCAGGGTTTTACTTTGCTGGGACATCCAGGATGTCGCCCTTTTTGCCAATAAATCCCCAAATCATCAGACTAAGATGAAGAGGGATGTGGCTTTAGGAAATGAGTGACAGGGAGAGTTGCTGGAGGTACCTGACGTCAGTCCCTCAGGAATTAATTCCATCCTCCCCTTCTTGCTGGGTTGCATTAAACTCGGCCCTACTGCTGACTTTTCTTCGAGGCGATAGGTGGGAGTATATTTTAAATTAATTTTACTCCACTTTTTGTAATATTTTTGTTTTAAATAGATTTATAAGCAACTCGGGGCCTATTTCTCCAAATTTATGAAGATAATTTTCACTCTCTTGATAAGGTGAAATTTACACCTGCTATTTCCATATTAATTCACATTGCTAAGTGGATCTAATTTTCTTCCGTTCTTCTATCTGGTGAGTGTGGCCTTTCCTAATGCAATTTCCCCTTCACTAAATCACTGTGATCGGGAGTCATGATCGAGTTAAATTAACTTAAATTAATTTACTTAATAAGAGCTCCAGATCATTGTGAATGAGGTTAAGATTTATTGATTCTCCTTTTCACTCCTTCCCCTTATCTCCCGCAGCTTTGCTGGGAGCACAGCTCACAAGGGCTACGATTTGCTGGCCTTAAATTTTGGTTGCTCCTGGTGACATTGAGGTTGGCCGTCCCTTAAAAATCCTGGAGGGAGATGTTCTCTCTCCTCACAGCCTCCCTCTGCTAGGAAAGGGATGAGGGATTTGCCATGGAGGAGTTGGGATGGATGAAGCATCGTGCAGAGATTTGGCAGTGGTGCTTCTCCTTCTTCCAACCTCTTTCCATGGTCTGCGTGGATGTGGCCACCAAAAAAATGGGATGTCCACATGTCATAGACCTTGCACAGAGGCAGGAGAAGCCTTCTGGGATTGATGATCAGAGGGGTGGAGCATCTTTCCTACAAGGAAAGGCTGGGAGAATTGGGATTGTTCAGCCTGGAGAAGAGAAGCTTCAGGGTGACGTTATTGCAGCCTTCCTGTGCCTGAAGGGGGTGACAGGAAAGATGGAGAGGGAATTTTTGTAAGGAGTGACAGGACAAGGGGGAATGGCTTCCCACTGAAAATAAGCAGCATTAGATTGGATATCAGGAAGAAGTTCTTCCCTGTGAGGGTGGTGAGGCCCTTGCTCAGGTTTTCCAGAGAACCTGGATCCCCAGGGAAGTCATGGTCCCAAAGCTTCCAGAGTTCAAAGAGCATTTGGACAACGCTCCGAATTGGCACAGGGTGGGATTTTTGAGGTGTACTGTGAAGGAGCAGGAGTTGGACCAGATGATTCTTGCATGTCCCTTCCAACTCAGAGTATTCTAGGATTCTATTTCTATTTCCTTCAGAAGACTCCAGTTCTCCCTATGGAGAGCCAGAACCACTTTTAAGACACTTTTTTGGGAGCAGAGAGCCCTTTGAGTTGAGCTTATAGACCCCCAGTGGGGGAATGAAACACTGACCCACTTTGAAGAGTTTTCTTCTCAAATCCTGCTGCAAGTGTGGAAAACAAAAGTCACCTGTCTGCAAATAATGAGTTGTGTCTGGCACTGCTGGGGAAACTGTGATATTTCTTCCTGAAAACTTTGCGGCACCTCTTGAGGGACAGTCCTACCCCTCTAGCACTATAAATAAGTAAAGAACAAGATAATCCAACATTTGTCAGAGAAATGCCAGCTCAGGAGAAAGGAACTCGTCAGTGGAGGATTCGCTTGTGTGGTTTAGTTTTGTTTTCTTTTTTCCTTTTATTTTCTTCTCTTTTGTTCTGTTCTGTGGCCTGGAGCGTGTTGAACAGATGAAAGATGGAAACAGTTGTCACCATCCTTGGAGGTGTTCAAGAAATGACTGAATGTGGCACTCAGTGCTCTGGTCTGGTTGACAAAGGGGTGATTGGTCCAAGTTTGGACTTGATGGTCTTTTCCAGCCTAAATGATTCTGTGATATTGTGATTACAAGGATTTTCTCCCCTTGTTTCAAAGATCTGAAGCCTTTAGTGATTCAAGCTGAAAGATAAAGTGGGTGGTGCAGGTTTTAAAACGGGGCTCAGTCACAGTGCTGGGTGCAAGGGTCACTTCCCTGGGAAAGGGGAGATGCAGCTGACCACCCAAGAGGAGGAGGAGGAGGAACCACCACCATCCCTTCTGGTCATCTGCAGGAGGTTGGGATATTGTGTTCCAGGTCACTTGGACACAGACACACCTCCTTGTCCCATCCCTTCCTTTCCTACACAGTGGGTGGTTTTGGGTTTCAAATTTCCTTTTACACCCTTAACAACATCTTTTAGACACCACTTGCCAACTGTGATCCAGTTCAGAGAATCATGGAATGGTTTGGCTTAGAAGGGACCTTGGAAGAACATCTGGTCCAACTCCCCTGCCATGAGTAGGGATGCCTTCTACTAGACCAGGTTTTTCCAATCCCTATCCAGCCTGGCCATGAACACTTCCATGGGATGGGACCATCCATTTCATGCAGCCCTTGTCATCCGTTCCCAGGAAGCCTTCCTGATTTTCCTTTCCCTTTTCCTGACATCCCTTGAGTGCCATTACAAGTTTCCCTGTGGAAGTA